ACACTTCAATAATTGGCTCTTAGAATGCTGGAAAATTGTATGCAAAAGAATGAAAGTAGATTGCTATTTCATACTATACACAAAAATAAGTACAAAGTGGATAAAAGATTTGGACATAAGATCTGAAAACAGAAAATATATAGAATAAAACACAAGCAAAGCACTTCATAATATATGCTTCAAGGACATCTTTATGGGCTCACATCCGGCAGCAAAGAAAACAAAGAACATAAACAGATGGGACTAATTTCAACTAAAATCTTCTGCAAAGTGAAAGAAACCTAACAAAAACAAAGAGATCACATTAAATAGCGAAAAAAGTTTGCATGCCATACATCTCACGAGGGCTGACATCAAAGTTTTACAGGAACTCATTCACCTCTATGAAAAGAGGAAAGATTTGCAATAATACTATTTCGCTTGTGAAGTTCATATAAAACTCTGGCACTTGAAAGTTTAACAATTTACAACCAATAATATTCTGGAAAATCTACAAAGAGATTATTTCTATTTTTATTGAGATTAAATGAATCATTACTCAAGAAGCCCTCATATAATGCTTTATAGTCTAACCACCAAAATAATATATTTAACTTGAAAAAGCTTTTTAAAATAAATTTGGAAAAATACCCAGTACCTTGAAGAAATGTAATACAAAATATAGTTAGGAGAAGATGTAAATATGGAACGCTTTACCATCATTAAGAAATTACTGCACATGCAAGTAATAAATAAAATAATGACCTTTAAAGTTAAAATTTTCAGGAACATAATGTAAAATGAAAAGTAAAATATGAGCAGACCATTCCAATTTTATTCAACAGAACAGCTAAAAATATTTAGGTGAACCAATATATCTTGAGAGAAAACTTGAATAGGAAATTTATAAGATTTTATAGCAACAAATTACAAGGTCAAGTTGTAAAGACTAAAATGTATCACGTTGACTTTTTTTTTTATACTGGGAATTATGAGTTACAAGTGGGATATATATGGTCAAATAAAGATATGAAAAAATATCAAGTTGAGTTAAAGCTAAGTTAATTGCACATTTTATGTCATGATTAGAGTACTCATGAAAAATGCAGACAGCATTTTTGAGGTCCAGAATGAAGTCATTATTGTAGAATATGATCATTCAGAAGGAATATTGATGGCTTAAAATCCAGGATGTGTAATAAATGTATAAATCATAAATAACCATAGAATAATCCTCAAAAATAACTAAAACTATGACTACCCTTTTTAATCAGTCACTGGTGATGAATCTAAGGAAAATTGCATTAGGGTGAACCTGAGTCAGAGACAGGAATAGTACAAGTTCTCTAATTACTTTGAAAACCTTGACACTAATGATTTCTTTTTAACATGACAGTCAACCTTATTCTATAGTGAGACTCACAGGCTGTCCTAGCTCATACACCCTTTCTGCTGCGAGGTTTATATTTCTAAATGAAATGGTATTTTATGGAAATGGGATGATAATCACCTTATCTGAAGTGCAGAATTATGCCTCATGGAGTATAGTGAACACAAGACTTTTGAGGTTTTGATAGTTTGTCCTTAAATAATTTATCTAGGTGACAACAGTATTATTTGAGTACTTTTTTGTTCTAGCATTTTGAGTGATTTCAGCTAAAAATGTATACAGATATAGGAATGTGCACTCTGTGGACTTATCTTTCGCTAGAAGAAAGACAGCTAACCATTCAGTACAGATATTTATTCATGAATAAACCAAGATTTATTTTCATACCATAAAGCCACCATCACAGTCAATAGATTTATTTTAATTTGAACACCACAGCTTCATTGGAGGGCTGCAAACAACAAATTATGACAGGGTCGGTAATGTAATAGCTCTTTTATATTGCACACTAATCATCATCAACACTTGTTAAAAGGAAGTTGTGTACTCTTCTTTGAGAGACTTAAGGAATGATCTTCACGTAATAGCTATTATTTGTACGTGTATTGAATAAGGAAAATTCTTCTATTTTTAATACCTCTATATTATGAAATTGAGCCAAATTAATCAGAAATTAAGAGCGTAAGGATTCATTCGTTAAAAAGTTAAGGACAATTAAGTCTATTTCTAAATTTAATAAAAGGATACAAATACATATTTTTTTAAGATTTATTTATTTATTCATACAGAACTGGGGTACAGGCCAGAGATGCGGAGAGTGAGAGGATTCACCAGACACAGAGTGGGGAGCAGAACAGGCAGATCAACAAAGTACACTGCTGAGGGGACAGCAGGTGGGTCAGGAGAGGTCTGCTGCGCCTTGTGGTCACCTCCGGGGCAGGCAGGGATCCAACTCATGCAGAAGCGGCTTAAGCTTCTTAGTGCTGTGCTTTAACTCGCTGCACCACCAGGGAGGACCCGGATTTAAATATTTTTAAGTTCACCTAATCATTTTATATTCAGTTCTATCCAGAAATGTTAAAAATTGAAAAATATAAGAAGTAGAAATTATTAGTATTATATTTGGAAAAATGTTTAATGCTTTTTCATTAAAAGTTAAATCTTGCGAGTCTTTTTAAAATAATTCTTTAAAAATATAATTCTAGTAATTTCATGTAAGGAAATATTTTATGGAGATTTTATAACATGATAGACAGTAATCAGGCATGTGTAAATGTAGAAATTCTTGTGAATTAATTAAATAAAAAAAGAACAGTATATTTAATTGATGATATTTGATTGCCTGATAGGAGCTGAGTTTTAAAAACTGTTTTATAATTTAAACTTTGAAACTGTGAGTTGAGAAAAAATTCAAAAGCCCAAATTGTAGTTCAGCTTTCAACTTTTTTATCATAATATAGAAGCAATAGTGACCAGAAATACACCTTAATCTCCACTTGAAGCATTCTGATGTCTTAACACTAATCTAAACCAGAGACATTTTATCTGGGTAGAGTGGGGAATAGAATAAAAAAAAATGGGGGTGGGAAAGGTGCACAGGACTATGGTGATGGCACATGAGTTTATTGGTGGTGTAAGTCTGTGGAAATAACAACCGAGATGGAAAAAGGCACAAAATGAAGAACTGAAGAATGATGTAAAAATAAATTTTAAAAGAACTAAACAATAGACCTTATTGTTATTATATAATTATTATTAATAACTGTTCTACCTTATAAAACTTCAAAAATATGTATGTGATAATATCACATAAAAGATCAGGATTTCAGTAATGGGGTGGTGTACTGGTGGTGTTTTTATGAGCATTAAGAAAGGGGCAAAAAACAACGATCCGTGCTCACTAAAAGGAGTGCTTATAAATCTTCCCACTCCCTTTTATTAACCCACTGAAGATTCAATTTAGTGTCTAGAGGATTGGTGATGAATACATGGCCAGACTAACTACAGGTTCACCTTAGGGCATGTCTTTGCAAGTACTTTAAGTTAACTTGTTACTCTAGGTGCCATAAAATGGGATTTTATATGTGTGTGCTTGCATGCCTGTATGAATGTATGTATATATATGTGTATATATAGACTATATATACACATATATATAAACAAGTGAAAAGAAACTCCACATACACATATAAACACATATACATACATGTGTGCATGTGTATATTCTATATTTAGGAGCGTATGTATATATGATATAGATGTATTTTATGCATGTATGCACATATTTTTATATAAGCTCCTATATCTAACACTTGAAACAAATTTCTATCTACGGCAATTTCAATTCTATTAGGGTTTTTGATTCCATGATTAATAAACACATGTTAACACAACATCAATTTTTTGGTCAACAGTAATTGTTATTTTTTTTTATAGATTCTATTATCTATGTCTGATACTTTAAAAAATGTAATACAGATACTATACCTATCAAGAACACATCACATACATATATGTAATGGCTCAATTATATATATATGGTGGTTTAACTATCAGGAGATAGCTAGGGTCAGGCCACCAGTTGTAATGTCCAGAATTGATTCTTTACATACACATCTGACAACTGAACTGAGTGTCTGAAACAGTTAGATCCCTTTGGGGATTATACTATTCCCTCTCACATGAATAGCTTGAATTTCCTTAAAATACAGCAATTTCCCAGTAGTCAATCTTCCTGTAGGTAGTTAATTTTCCACAGAGTGAGTATTCCAAGGGAGAAACTCAAAAGCTACAAGATTTGGCTAACAAGATCTATGATATACAAAGTCTATGTAGAGTACTACATAAGGACCTGAATGCAAGAAGTATTGTCCATTGGGGAATCTCTCTTTGGAGACTTACTACTAAACATAGCAAACAAAATATAGCTACCGACAACGCTACTGTTACATCCTATAGTGTTTTCATCATTAATGGAGGTCATCTTTACATGTACATACTTTGGCATGTGCATATTATGCTCTAACATTTATGATAAGTATAGGTTGTTTTTAAAAATTGCCATTGTTATTCATACTATATAACTTTTAATTTTTTTTTTTGCAGTGCAGTGTAGGTCTTAATAAATTCAAATTCAAAATGTTGCCCCTAGGATTTGGAACAAATTCTCAATTTTCTAAGGCTACATTATTGAATTATTCACTATAATTTACTGTTTCAGTCCACCAGAAACTTATATATCTATATATAATGTTATTATATTTATTCATGTTTATTATTCAAAGAAGGAATCATTGTCAAATATTGGTGAAGTAATCCATCTTCAAATTATGATTAGAATTTCCAATGTGCTCAAAGGTGTATGAAGGCTGACAGCTTCCTGCTTTGGAACAGGTTCACTTTCATTCTGGATGTGCCCTTTTAAAAAATATAATAGAAGCAACTGTGCAGCCTGGTGAGCAGGTTTGTACATAGAACTGACTGTTCATGAAAGCCTGATATTGTTCAAAATTCACAGTCATGATAATGTGACTTCAGAAGATAGCTGAAATAATACATTTCCTAAATTGGATGCATTAAGCATTTATACAGATCACAGATGAAACCCTGTAATTTCCTTTCTTCCTTTCAGTCCCAGCGGCGTGTCACATTTCACTTGCCAGAAGGCTCTCAGGAGAGCAGCAGTGATGGTGGACTTGGAGACCATGATACGGGCAGTCTTCCCAGCACATTTCATGCCTTACCCCTTGGCTATCTTCAGGAAGAGTACTTTGATCATGCCGTACCCAACAACCGCACTGAAGGGGATGGCAACTCTGATCCTGAATCTAGTAAGTGATACCTACCTATAATACGGACTCACTGTGTTTTCAAGTACAACTACAGTAGTAATAATAGCATTTAACTAACCTATTATGAGCGCTTGCTTATTTTTAATGGTGAAGCTATATAATGAGTGGCATATGTGCGGTAGTTCATAATATTTGAAATGTGTAGTCATAGCTACACAAAGTTTATTATAGTTATATTTTTAGGCACAGGTAGCATTTTACATATGTGCATGTGTGTATGTGTGTGTGTGTGTGTGTGTGTATGGTAGGGCCTTTCTGGTGGTGCAGGGATTAAAGCCTCAGTACTATGCCACTTCAGCATGGGCTCGATACCCAGCCAGTGCCAACCCACATGTATCCCCACCCAGGGCAAACCCACATGGTGCAACAGACTGCTCCTGTCTCACCTGCTGATCCTACCAGCAGTGAATTTCAGTAGATCTGCCTTCACAGCTCCCCACTCTGTCTCTGGTGAATTCTCTCACTCCCCACCCTGTACCTCTGACTTATTCCCCAGTTCTTCTATATATAAACTAACAAAATAAATCTCTTAAAAAATATGCATGATCCTCCCTGGTGGTGCAATGGGTTAGGACGCAGCAGTACAAGGTAGCTGTAGTCACTTCAGTGTGAGTTTGATCCCTGACCCTGGAAGTGATCCACATGGCACAGCAGATCTCTCCTGACCTGCCGGCTGCTCCCCTCAGCAATGTACTTCTTCAGTTGGCCTGTTCTGTTCCCCACTCTGTCTCTGGTGAAGCCTCTCACTGCCCCTGCTCCTCTAGCCTGTGCCCAGTTTTGCACACGTAAATAAATAAATCTTTAAAAAAAAGTGTAACATCTTTAAACACAACGATAGTGAAAGAAAGGATAAGCAGATGGGACTACATCGAGTTAAAGAGCTTCTGTACAGCAAAAGAGATACTACAAAAAACAGACATCCCACTGAATGGTTAAAAATTTTCTCACACAATACTAGCTATAAAGGATTGATCACAAAGATATTCAAAGAACTGATGAAACTCAACAAAAATAAAAAACCCCATCAAGAAATGGGCAGAAGAGCTAAAAAGACACTTCTCCAAAGAGGAAATGCAGATGGCTAACAAGCATATGAAAAAATGTTCAACATCACTTGTAATAAGGGAGATGCAAATTAAAACCACAATGAGATACCACCTCACCCCAGTGAGAATGGCACATCTTCAAACGACTAGCAGCAACAAATGTTGGCGAGAATGTGGAGAAAAAGGAACTGCATTCCTGGTGGGAATGCAAACTAGTATAACCACTGTGGAAAACTGTTTGGAGGTATCTCAAAATGCTAAAAATGGAGCTTCCATCTGACCCAGCAATCCTACTCCTAGGCATCTACCCAAAAGACACAAAACACTGATTCAAAAAGACAACCATACCTCCATGTATATTGCTGCTTTATTTACAATAGGGAAGACATGGAATCAACCCAAATGCCCAAAAGTAGATGACTGGATTAAAAAGATGTAGTACATATATACAATGGAATATTTACTCAGCAACCAAAAAAGATAAACCCATGCCTTTTGCAGCAACATAGATGGGGCTGGAAGGGATCATGCTTGGCAAAATAAACCAGAAAGAAAATGAAAAATATCTGATGGTTTCACTCATAGCTGGAGCATAAAGGACAAGGGGTAAAAACAAAATAATAATAATGAATAACTATATGTCAGAGACATTTCATAAGGTTGGAGTGGGGAATGGGATCAAAAATGGGGAAGAAGGGAAGTGTACTGGATTATGGTGATGGGACACGGGTGATTTAGTGATGGGAAGCCCACAAGGATTGAAGCTGAGATGGAAAAAGGCACAAAATGATGTAAAAACAAACTATTATATTAAAATAAAAGAAAAAATGTGTGTCTGTATATATACATATGTGTGTATACACATGTATGTATTATATGTATATATTAAAACACCCATTTTATTTTTGTCATTTAATTTATTTTTGTAGATATCAATTGTTTTAATAATTTCATATAAAATATTTTTATAATTCATATAAATCATTTTCCAGATTTAAAAAAATATGTTTTTAAAGACACATTTACTTAGCATCATGATCAGACTAGTACATTCATTAATCAAGAGCATGCATACAAAAATTTTAAGACTACACTAAAATTCTTTGTCATAATGCTTTCCAAAACACAGAAACTGAAATAACCTATTATATAATTAGTCAAAAATACAGTTCTAGAGTTTCTTGCCCATACACAATTGTATCGTTTCAAAATTATCTTCTTTATAGAAGCGAGTCCTGGCCACCACAGTGTGTAACTGAGCTCACAAACCTGTTGTAAAGTGTAGCTTCCTTGTCACTTCTCTGGCTCTGCTCTCCTGCTAAGCTTTGTTTCCTGGTAGAACATTAAAATCTTTTTCTATTGCTGCTGCTGAGGGAACCACTATAACCACCTTGGTTTCATAGTTCGGCAAAGTATTGGCCTACACAACCATGGTGCCAACCTTCTGCCTCCTAATATTCCTGCTTTCATGAATCCAAAATTTGAAGACTTGTTGTAATTGGTAAAATAATTAGCTTCCCGCTCTTCCAAAATTGCTTCTATCATTGCCAAATCCATTTTACCAACTCCCCACCACCGTGGCTGCCACCAAAGCCACCTTGACCATTGAAGTTTCCCCCATGACCAAAGTTGTCATTCCTACCAAAACTATTTCCACAACCATCATCAAAGTTTCCAGAACCACTCCTACCTCTTTAACTGGATGAAGCACTGGCTATCTCTTGCTTAGATAGGACTTTCCTTACTTCAGCATTGAGGCTAGTCACTGCATACTACTTCTTAATAGCAGTTTTGTCTAAGTAATCATGGTTATCCAAGGTTGTTAAATCAAAGCCTCTTTCTTTGCCACTGCCTCAATCAGCCATGATTTCAATCGCTCCAATTTTCCCATACTGCTCAAAATAATCTTTAGGCGGTGTTTTTCAGTGTCTTCATTAATGCCACCAACAAAAATCTTTTTCTCAGTTAAGTGAGCACCATAACTTTGAGAATGTCACTCGACACAGAGCTTTTTCCCCCCTTTATATGCATTATACTAAAAAGGAAAGAAAAGGATGCTTGCACAGACAGAAGTGGGCAAAAAGAGCTACACAGGAAAAGATTTGTAAAAAGAAATACTTGCATAATTACAGGGGAGCAGAAAAGCTGCATATTTGAAAGGGGTAGCAGCAAATAAGCACCCACATAGACACAGCCAAGCAGCCTGGGAAGAAGAGCTTCCTGATTCCACAACACTTCCATCAGTCTTCTGTGGTCTTCTATTCATGGCTGCACCCACCACTTCCACTGTGATATATGTGACAAACCCAAAGCTTCTGGGTCCCTTGGTGTTTGAATCTCTCATTATCACACAGCCCGTAAACATTCTCTGTTGCTCAGAATGGCATCTCATAGGTTTTTATTTTATTTTTTTTTTAAGTTAAATCTCTGCTGAAGATTTTCTGTAGTTGTTTGGGCTCCTTGGGAGACTGACTTAAACATGATGGCTGTGGAAGGGGAAACTTTTATGATACTTATGTTGTCCATTCCATGGGCATCATACTATTTTTAATGTTTAATAAAGATAACGACATATCCTAAGTGAAGTAGAACAGAAGGATAAAGATAAATACTGGGTAATTGCACTACAGAAAAACCAAACAAAAGCTCTGACAAAGACAAACTTTAAAATGAATTCTTGGAAGCTGACCACAGAGCTGAGGCATTAGGAAGGGGGGAGAGAGGGAAGGGAGTCTGAAGTGGAAAATGGGAAGAACACAAAAGATTTGGCAGAAGACTAAGGGTTTTTGGTGGTGGGAGAGCTATGGTGACCACACCGGAAGAAAGAAATCTTATACTGTCAAAATATTAACAAAGATGTAAAACATTGGTACCTCATTAAATTAAAAAAAATGTTACAGTTTGAAAGTATACATAGCACTTCTTTAGGAAAATAAGAGACTCTGGTGGTAATATAAAGGAGTTATGCTAAAGTTTTCAATAATGTACTTAAACCACTTGCTTTGTGGTTTAAGTATTGAGGTTTGGTCTGCAGATCAAAAGCACAAGGCCATATTTGGCAAACACCCAAGAGACAGCATGCACACTTAAAAGAGGATCATGAAGCTGATACTAAATAGAGAATTTCATTACATTTATTATCTTGAACATGTATCTGTTTCCTCATAGCTTTAGGAAACACAATTTAATAAGGTTATATCTTAGAAGGCTCTTGAAATACATGAATCTATAATCTGCTTATAATGTGTGGAAATGCAACTTTGGATAAGGTTTTACATATATTAGAATATTCTTGAATTCCAAGAAGCTAAAAATTGCTTCAGATATTTTCATATACATAAAAACGTATAGATACAAAAGAATATACCACATTTGTGGTAGAGAATAGTCATGGTGTGAGCAAATATAAAAAAATGAGCAACAAACTAACACATAAACATTAAATGAATATAAAGCAAAAATTTTAGGACTATTTTGAAGATTATGGGTTATATGACTATATATTTTTTAAGATTTATTTATGCATAAAAGAACTGGGGTACGGGCAAGAGTATGTGGGGAGGGATGCAGGTGAGAGATTTCACCAGAGACAGAGTGGGGAGCAAAACAGTCAGATTAATTGAAATACAGTGCAGATGGGAGCAGCTGGCAGGTCAGGAGAGGTCTGCATGGCCATGTGGGTCACCTCCCTGGCTGGGGATGGAACTCGTGCTGCAGGGGCTGCAGAGAGCTTCATAGTGCTGTGCTCTAACCCACTGCACCACCAGAGAGGGCCCATTACTATATATTTTAAATGAAAACATCTAGTTTTTAGACCAAAATGTCTTATCATTGTGTCTTAATCCTATTTTTGGAACAACAAATATTGAAGGAAATGGACTGGTTTAACATCATGTTGTAGGGCCCTCCCTGGTGGCTCAGCAGGTAAAAGCA